AATCCAGAAAGGAAGATTCTCGGGACTTAGAACGTGCATATGTATGCATACTCTTGTAGAAATGCAGGCTTTCCTCTGGGATATTGATAAATCTTTCAAAGATCCAATTTTCAGTCAGTGCTAGAACTAACCATCACTGTCAGAGGTCCAGATGCGAGAGTGACAAGTAGAAACCTTATTTACTTTAACTTTTCAGAGTCAAATTGAACTAGCCTTAATGGAATGCCCCTAAAATCCCAGGCTTTTATTTATAGCCTTCTTTGGATCTCTAGCAGTCTTGCGAGGCACATAACTATTATTATCCCTGCGGTGTAGACAGGGCACTGGGAGTCAAAGGAGTTTGGTGGCTTGTGCTCAAAGCCCTCCATCCGGTCATTCAACTCCCGGTCATCTGAGTTCTGAGGAATTTTAGATGTGGTCTAGCTGAGGGGAACTTTCCAACCAGACAGCGTCTAAAGCTATGCTGCTTTTCCTGAGATCTCTCAGCCCAACCTTGCGGCAGCCCATTTAGATGATCTGCAGGGGCCTGTGGAAATATTTGCAAGAGTCTGCATGAAGAGTCCTCACTGTAACCCTATAAGGGAAAATATGCAAGCGCTGTGCTTGAGTATCAGCTCCTTTGCTCCGGTGCCACATGAGTTCTGTCTGTCCTGAGCGCACCCCCAGATAGTCTCCTCGGTGTTTCTGCTGACAGAGAAGGGCCCCGACCAGACGGCGATCAACCTGTCTGAGACAGTGACCTTGTCAGAATCCTTCTTTTGCCACTTTTGATGTGCGTGTTCTAAGAATATCACAGAAGACATGGTTGCTATGAGAGGACAATCCGGGGTATTTTTCTCTGCAACTTTCTCTTCCAAACAAATCTCAGGAATTTTGTCTGTTATGGAAACGTAGAAACAAACGAGTGAATGAATTCACCAAACATACTGCGCCTGTCCGTTGGGTCCTGGCTCCCGCGTCAGGCGCTCTGCTGGGTGCGCTAGGCACAGAGAGGAGGCAACAGTCCCTGACTTCAGATGCTGGCTGCCTGCTGGAGTGGACAGACAAATTTACCAGTAATTCCAGCAGGAGCCAGGGGCTGTAATGGAGGCAGGCCCGCCTGGTGGGGACGGAGCTGCCTCCCAGGGCGGGCACGTAAGAGGCAGCCAGGTAAGAGGTGTGGCAGTGGGTGTGTGCGAGAGCAAGCCGGTCATGCAGGGATGAGGCCCACCACCGAGGGCAGCCGTGCACGCCGCGGTCCACGGGCTCCAGCGAGCCTGATGCTGTGCGAAAGCACGCCGTTTGCTGCAGTGTGAAACACAGCATGGGAGTGGAAAGAGAGGAGTCTGGCAGAATAAGCAGAGGCTAGTTAAGATTCTGATACAACATCAGGAAAAGTCACTGAAAAGAAGAAGGTAGGGGACAAGGGCGTTTTCTGAGAAGCAGGTTTGTCCTGGGACCAGCCGTGGTTTAGCAACTGCTTCCTGACTGGACCCTCAAATCCAGCACAGTGGTCCTGAGGGAGTGGGAGGAGGGGGCTTTCGTGAAATCAGCTCCCCAGATGTGCAGTGACTGAGACTCTGGAGACGGGCAGCTTGAAGAGAGGTGTGCAGGCCAGGCGGTGGGCGCACCGCAGGGAGCCCCGAGCCGGGGGGAGGCGGCCGTGAGCTGCACAGCGCAGTCCACCCTGCCCCGTGTTCTCTTGTGACGTCTGATTTGGAGTCTTAGGGAGAAAATCTTTTCCGCCACCAGGGTTATAGAATAATTCACCTTCTATTTCTTCGAGGACTTTAATGGTCTTACTTTTTAAAAATACCTTGATTCTCAAGTATCTTTGGAGTTTTTTCTGGTGTATGATGTTAAGTATTTAAATTTATCTTTCTTCTTTCCCCAAGTGACCACCAGTTGTCCTAACTCCAATTAAGAGGTCTGTCTCTTCCCCATTGGGTTTGAGACACTGCCTTTATCAGAAGCCACATGTCTAAATATATAGGCCTGTTTGTTGACTATGAAGTAGAATTGATCCAACTGGGAATTTATGTGCCAGTATCACACTTTTTTTTTTGAAGATTTTACTTATTTTACTTTAGAGAGAGAGAGAGAGAGAGCGAGCATGAGTATGAGCTGGGGGAGGGGCAGAGACAGAGAATCTCAAGCAGACTCCCTGCTGAGCATAGAGCCTTATGCAGGACTCCATCGCAGGACCCTGAGATCATGACCTGAGCCGAAATCAAGAGTCAGATGCTCAACTAGCTGAGCCACCCCAGGGCCCCTCACACCTTTTTAATGATATAAACTTTATATTATGTTTTGATAGGGGAGAGGGCCAGTCCCTCTTCCTTGTTCTTAAATATCCTTGCATGCTCGCTGGTATATTAAATTTATTTGTGAACGTGGAGAGAATTGACATCTTTCTGATGGTAAGTTGTCCTCTCCATAGGCAAGGGACACTTTTCCATTTGTTCAGATTTACTTCTTTGTCTTTCAGGAATGTTTTAGGTTTTCTGTATGGAAGTTTTGCACATTTCTTTTTAAATTTAAGTGTTTTACCTTTTTTTAATTGCTTTTAAATGAGATATTCTTTTTCATTCTGTTTTCTAGTATTTATTGTTTGGTAAAAAATTAATATGTGAAAAGCAGTAGTTTCTACATATTCTACTACTTTATTCAAGTTTTTAATTATTTATAGTAGTTTTATCATTGATTATTTTGGGTTCTCTATGTATAATTTCATATCAGCTGCAAACAGAGATCATTTTATTTTTTCTTTTCCATCCTTAAGTTTCTTATTGCCTACTCGTTTCTAATTGCATTGGCTAATACTTCCAATGTAGTGTTAAAGACAGTGGAGCAAATGGGCCTCCTTGACTTGTCTCTGACCTTACCAGGAATGCCTGAAGTCTTTCTCCCTGACTAGGATGCTGTTCTTGTTTTTGTTTGTCTCTGTGTCTTATTCCTTTTGGGCTGCTATAACGAAATACCATAGACCGGGTGGCTTGTAAAGAACAGAAATTTATTTCTCTCAGTTCTGGAGGCTGGATGTCTGAGAGCAGGGTTCCAGCATGGACGGGTTCTGGTGAAGGCCTTCTTCTGGGTTGTAGACTGCCTACTTTTCATCCTCACAGGGGGAAGGGGCAAGGACACTAATACCCTTTGTGAAGGCTCCACCCTCATGACCTCATCATCTCCCAAAGGCCCCACCTCCTGATACCATCACATTGGACATTAGGTTTCAACATCAACAATTTTGGGGGGATGCAGACATTCAGCCTATAGTAGTTAGTACATGTATTTTATCAAGTGGGGAAAGTATATATCAATTCCCATTTATTGACTTTTTTAAAAAAGCAGGAATGAGTACTGCATTTTGTTGAAGGCTTTTTCATGATCTGTAGAGAGAATCATGATCTTCTCATGAGATCTATTAATACGATGAATTATATTAGTAGATTTTCTAATGTTGAGTCATCCTTGCATTCCTGGAATGAACCCCCTTTGGTCATGGTGTGCTATTAATGTATTGTGTTGATTTCTGTTTGCTAATATTTTATTTAGGATTTTTGCATTGATATTTGTAAGTAACAATAGTCTTTGGGGTTTTTTTTTGGGGGGTGTGGTCTCTATCAGGTTTAGGCATCACTTTTGTACCTACTTCTAAAAAAAGAAAGTATTTGAAAACTTTATGTATCTACCCTCTGGAAGAATTTGTGTAGTAAGGTTTGGCGTTTAAGGTTTGGTAGAATTCCCCTGTAAAACCATCTGGGCCTGGGGCTTTTATTTGTGATGCTAATTCTTTGACAACTTTCTCTATTTCTTCTATGGAAAATCGATCTGTGTATGCTTTCTAAAACAATTTGGTAAATTGTATTCTTATCTGTGAAATTATGTACTTCACCTAATTTCAAATGTATTTGCACAGAGTTGTACAGAATAGTGTTTCCTGACTTTTCTTAAGGGAGGGGGGCAGATATTTAAGGATGCCATAGTTGAGAAGATAAGAAGTGTGTGGGCAGTGTTCACTTACTGTGTTCATTGATCCCAAGTCATACAGTGAAGTTCTAGTAAGACGAGCATATGCTAATCATAATGATAATAGCTACCATTTGTGAAATACTTGGCTCTGTATGTAGAGCAGCTCATTTAATCCTCATTACAATACTGAGATGCATAATCAGCATCTCATTTTAAGCATGAGATAATTTGGGGGAATTACTCACTTAGCCAAGGTTCACACAACTAGGAAGACTCAGAACTGGGATTTGGGCCTGATTTGTGTGGCTGCAAAGGCTGGGCTCCTTCTAAGAAGCAGCAGATGAGGAGGGACCGAGTAGAGGCATAGAGAGATTCTGGGAAGGAGGGGTCAGGGTGGATGGAATGACCACTGCACTCTAGACATGCACTCCACTCTAGGGGACTGGCAGCAGTTGCAGGGGCAGGGAGGAGAGTCAGCCAGGTGACCCGGGTGGGCTGGCTGGCAGAGGAGGTAACCCTGGCTACAGCAGGCAGGAACCCCAGAGGATCACACAGTGAGAAGGGCATGTGGAGGCTGGCAGGTCGGGGCACCAGCTGGGGCTGGGGTTATGTGGCTGGGAGCGGGAGAGCCAGGGGCACTGGGGAGTTAGGGGGAAGCATGTATTTGTTTTCAGCAGAGACTAGGTGAGGGAAGTTACCCACGTCTAGTTTCTGTGCACTAGGTTAGGACCCCAAAAGGAAGAGCTACCTGGGAGGGATCTCAGATGAACACTTGGTGTTGGAAAGACGCCCCTCTGCCCTCGTGCTGTCTGGTGACACTGACTAGAACTGAGGACGCAGACAGCACTAGGTCTCTCACTCGTCACTGAAGTTTGCCAACTGCAGAGAACGTGGACGTGGCCACGTGTGTAGTCGGTGCCTGTGACCCACGGAGTGATGTGAATCTGCGGGCCGTTCCTTCCCTTTTCTGACCAAGCAGCAGCGAGTTCTGGGTAGTGAACTGTGTCTTCCCAGAGCCAGTCATAGCAGGCATTTCTTCTCATTTGCAGGATTTGCTCTCAAAGAGTGGTTTGGTTTCCTGAGAAACTGCAGGTGGACGCTGGGCGTTCCGTGCTCGCCCCTGGAGGAGGCGTGTGAGGAAGACCGTTCCGTGCAGACCAGGACACTCCTGCCTGGCCGTTAGGCCTCCCGGCTCCTGGTTCCAGCCTTTTTACCAAATCCCTTGTGACTTCAGCAGGTAGGTCACTTTCCTTCTCTGGGCCCCAGCTTTCTCCCATGTGAAATAAAGGCACTGGACCCCACGGGCCCTTCTGGCTTTCAAATTCTGTGATCTAGGCACTCAGGTGAATCAAATTCCTTTGAAGTGGATTTTGGGTCCCGCAAACAAAAGCCCATTTCTTTTATGTTGTTGAAATAAATGAACCCACTGCCCAACCTGAGTCAGAGGTTTGCTTTCAAGAGTAGAGGGGTTGATTACAGAGGAAGCATGTTGCTGGACTGAATTACTGGTCTGCCGTGCTGTCTAGCCTTTACTCACACTTTCCCTCTTTACGTAGGACCGTGGAAGACACTGACCACGTAAGACAGAGCAGAGTCACTTAATTTAGTGCAAAAATCCTTTGGCTAGGGAGAAGGGAGTGCTGCTTTTCAGATGCGTAGAATGTATCCTGAAATGCCTCCAGTTGATTTCCCTGTTGCTTTGGGAATCATAAATTCTGTAGCCAGATCTTCTGTGTGGTGTAGGCATTTGAGGAAAAAAAATTTTTTTTCTGGGAGTTACTGACTTACAACCTGTGTCCTGATCCCAGTCTATGTTCAGTGAGTCCCATTCTGCCCAGTGGAGGATAACGGGTGTGAGGGTTAGGGGGTCAAACAAAGGCGGTAGGGGCCCTGGGTCTAGGGTGGATGTGTCCCTGCTTTGCTTCCTGTCCTGGGTCAGGCTCTGCACCTTTCTTCATTTTATCTCTGCCGTCTGTGATGTTTCAAAGATAACGGGAGTATGAGGATCAAGGGATAAAATACACTGGGAGTATTTTATATGGTAGAATATAACTAGTGGTTACTCTGAATGCAAAGCCCTTTGGCCTGAGTTCCGGGCGTACAGATGGGAGTGGTGGAGCGGACCATGCCCTTGGTGAGTCTCCGATTCTCTGAGCCTTCTTTCTTCATCAGGAGGTTGAGGGAGTTGGATGAAACATCTACAGTCGTAAGATGCTATTTTTTAATATCAGAACCACTGGTGAAACAACCCCGTAAGGCGCAATTTGAGCAATGTCCTTGAAGGATGTGATTGTGTAGAGAGCCTGCTCCGTGTCATGGGAAAGCGGTTATTTGACCGCGAACACCGAGGAACATAACCTAAGAAGAATGAACGTCCTCATCCACCATGAGCGAAATGTGCAGTGTGGTGGTGTCGCGAGCAGAGGCACGAAAACCAAGCAGACTTGGTTCTGACACCCATCCAGCCTCTCATTTTGAACAGTATGACCTTGGACCAGAACATAACCTTTCTCAGTCTCAGTTTCTTCATCTGTAAAATGGTGAAAATAAGTCCTGTGTCAAAGGGCTAGTGTGATAATCCGTCGTAATGTGCACGAAGCACTCAGTGTGTTGCCTGGCACGTGGTCAGCGCTTGGTGGCAGCTCTCATTCTCTATGCGACATCTCTAGGGAGCGATGGACCTTGCGGGGGGACATAGACCTGTATCATAATGAGGACTTGGGCTGGGAGTGCTGGGGGAGGTCAGGGGGCACCTGTGAGTCTTTCCTGACCCTGGAGACGCAGGAGGGAGCTGGTGTTAGGCAGTGGAAAAGCTGGATATCGGGAAGGTAAGTCCTGGGTGGCATGTGGTGAAGGGCACTTAGGATGTGTCTCTGAAAACCTCACCTGAATCCCTGGACGCTGGATCGCTGTGCCTGTCCTACGAGGGCTGGCTCAGAGCTGGCAAGACAGCATGGAGGGCGCCGCCAGATGCGGGCTCCTCATGCCTCCTGGGTGTCCTGCAGACCGGAGTCATGCGGCGCCACCCCCTTCATAAGCATACGCATTCCAGCTCCTTCTGACTCTACTAGACCTACGGGACAGGCGTGTTCGTATTAAGAATTTTAAACTGAAAATCGGGTGCAGGAACTTCTTTTTATTTATTCATTTATTTATTTGAGAGAGAGAGTGTGAGAAAGAGAGCACAAGTGGGGGCGGGGGCAGAGGGAGAGGGAGAAGCAAGCTCTCTGAGGAGCAGGGAGCCCGATGCGGGGCTCGATCCCAGGAGCCTGGAATCATGACCTGAGCTGAAGGCAGACGCTTAACGACTGAGCCACCCAGGCGCCTGGGTACAGGAACTTCTCGTTCCTCCCTTGCCTTGGTGGCATGTCTGTGAGCTATGGGATGTCGTGCCCCTACCTTCAACATGCATTTGCCGAGTGCATGGGCACCAGAAGGAACCCAGTGATGATGGGACGCTGTCCATGCACACCAGGACGGGCGGTACACTGGGGGAGGTAGGTGGCTCAGTACATGATTATAATACTCTACAGGGCACCGTGGAGGCTCTGGTGAAATGGATCACCCTCCTAATTTTTTCTAGGATGTGTGTTCTTAATTTTATCTGACCATGTGATCGCTCTTAAAAAAAAATGGCTGTGGCATCTCACCAGGCCAGGGTCATCTCAGAAGGCAGTCATGGAATGATTATCACGCAATGGTTGAAGCAGGGCCTTTGGAGTTAGATCTGCGCTCAGGTTCTCACTGCTGTGGTCTTGCTGTGTGGCTGTGAGTAAATTATTAGCTGCAGAGACTTAGCCGCTTATTTGTCTCATAGCCTTTGGCAACCCCTCTGAGCCTCTGTTTGTTCAGCTGTAAACCGGGGCTGATAACACCATGTAACCCATCGGGGTCTCTGGGAGCAAAGTGAACTCACACCTGTCCAGGGACGAGCACAGTGCGGGCACTTGAGGCTGCTGGGGGAGCATTTGCTCAAAGACAGGTAACCAGACCATTGCTTGCTTCTCATGCCCCTGCGGATGGGGACAAGGGGGTCTCTGCAGCATTCCCGGGAGGAGGGGGCATCGTGGATAGTGGGTCGTCAGAAAGTGTCAGTTCTTCCCTTGTGAGCTGTGCGTCAGGACTCGTGAGCTTTCTGTGTGCATTGTACCACAAAACAAAAACCAACCCACAGATCACTCGATATCCGGTTATCGGTTTGGCTGCTGCAAGACGAAGGAACTTTGGTAATTAAGGAAGACCCCTGTGGAGAGGAGCCAGTTGGGGGTGATTAATGAGAGCAGGCTGGGAGAAGGGGGATGCTGTGGGCTTTGAGTGTTTGAAGGGACAGTTAAGGGTAGAATGTGGCTTGTTTAGTCTGTGAAGATCCTGAAAGGGAGTAACTTTTCTGACCAATCACACTCTCTGATTTGGGAGGTTCTGCACCCCGCGGTGGGGAGAGCTGTCTGTGCTTTGCGGTCTTGGTCTGAGATTTCAGTGAAAAGAAAACCATCCAGGGCAGCTTAGTAAAAATCAGTGAAATGAACATTTGTTAGAATGATGCAGGTAAATGCTGTGCATTTCAAGTGCACAGGTGACCAAGGAGAGCCCAGGAAGGTCTCGGAAGCCCGGCAGTCTTTCTGTCTGTCTCTTCCTCTCGCCTCACCCGGTCTCTGGTGCCTGAGCATGTCTGCTTGTGCTCCCCCATGTGCTGATAACCGGATCCTTCCCTCCTCTGGTCCTGGCTCCTCCCTCCGGCATGTACATGCTGTACCTGGTTCCTGTGTCCACATGTCTTCAGCTCCGGAGATCCCAACTGCCCACGAGTTCCTAGTCCCAGGCAAACTCCTCCGGAAGGAGAGTTGGACTGGCCATCTTGGGTTAGGGCGGCCCAGAGAGTTATAATCTGGGAGCGGGAGGTGGCTGTGGGCGCCGTAGGGTGGCTGTGGGCGCCCAGAGGCCACGTGTGGCAGAAGGCGCTGGTCTCTGAGCCGGGGAGCACGGCCAGGCAGGTGTCCCCCACCATGCTTACGGCCAGCTCCCAGCCGGGAGGGGTCTGCGTGAGTCCTCATGGGAAACCTGTCAGGGAGCTCAGGGCAGAGACAGGACAGACTCAGTCTGAGGTCCTCTTCAGACATTTTGATGCTGCGAGCTGGCACCTAAGTGAAACCTTACAGGATAAATGTAATTTGGCTATCTACAAGAGAGGCGTTTTTGATAAGAAAATATGTGAATGAAGATGGGCTGCTGTGAGGTTCACATAGGCCCATAAGCATTTTTAACATTTCTGCTGATGGCCGCCCATCGATTTTTGGTTGGTATTTTTTATTGTGGTACAATATATGCATCATAAAATTTGCCATCTTCACCCTTTTGGAATGTACAATTCAGTGTCATTCAACACATTCACCCTGGCTTGCAGCCGTCACCACCATCCGTCCCAGAGCTGCTTCATCTTCCCCAACTGTAACTTACCTCCCCAAACTGAAGACAGCCATTGAACACTAACTCCCCATTCTCCCTCCCGGCCCCCCAAACACCGCTCCACTTTCTGTCCCGATGATTTTGATGACTCTAAGTACCTCGTGTAAGTGGAATCATACAGTGTTTGTCCTTCCGTGACTGGCTTACTTCACTCAGCACAGTGTCCTTAAGGTTCATCCGTGTTGTAGCAGGTGTCAGAATGCCCTTCCTGTTGGAGGCTGAGTAGTGTCCCATCACGTACAGAGACCACATCGCTCTCTCTAGTCATTGATCAGTGGATACGTGGGCTGTTTCTACCTTCTGGCTCTTATGAATAACGCGGGCAGCCCTTCATTCTTAGAGTATAGATGAGATTGTTTTCCCCTTAGAATCATCAAGAAGTTGTTTTACTAATGAAAAAGGACCTTAAAGACTTATTTAATCCAGCTTCTTCATTTCATAGAGCAAAACTCATTCAGTTAGGACAAGTGAACAGCTCAGGAATACACCTTGCCTACTTTGGACTCATTTGCCATTTCTCTGTCCTAGACTTACCTAAAATTATGAGAGCTTTGGTAGTGACAACAACATGGCCTCAGTTAATATCTTTAGTCCTGAAGAGTGTTGTAGACTTGGAAAGAATCCCATGGACTGAACTTTTTTGCTTGGGACTTTTTGGTCTCAAAATATATATTGAACATTCCAAAGAGCTTTTATTTATGTGGGTGTGTCTGTATATATTTCTCATATTTGAATTAAAAAGTGGCAGATTTTTAAAATATATTTATGAAAAGTAACTGCATTTCCCAAAACAAGCTAATTTGTGAGAGAGTGGCGTGTTTTCTATTTCTGCAAGCATCTCCTGTATCTGGTTTGATAAAGATTGCTAGATTCTCGTATCTGTTTCTGCATTCAGATTAGAGCAAGCACGTAGAGAAAATCTGGCTCGCACAGATACACAGAGAAGAATACTTCAGTGGCTCTTCAGAAAACTGTCAATATTCTTCTTTGATACTACACCAAAAACTGGCAGGGGGTAGTTTCTTAAGAGTTAGCTGCAATTTGGGATCTGAAGCTGCATCATAGAATGCTTCATCCTCTGTTACATTAGAATATTTCCGCTTATTTTGTTCGTTAGACGGATCCTCGCCCACGTGTGATTTTGTGACCTCACTGTTGACGGAGTGGTGCGGATCTTCTAAAAGCTGACATACCGCATTATACTAGATCAGAAAAGCCTGTTGGCCAGTGCCTGTCCCCATCTGATCAGGAAAGCCTCTGCTGAGAAGTTGTCATGCTCACCGTGGTGGGTACAAGTGTTCGAAATTCTCACTTCCGTTTGGAAGCTCAAATTTTATCGTTGGCAACCAGTGCTGTCATTGTTTACCTTGACATGGTAAGGTCACTTCGTCCCCTTTTGGGAGGATGTCGGTCATACACTCAGTGCACGTCCTTGTAGTTTGTGTATCATTTCTTCTTTGGGGCCACGTGAGAAAAGCCCCTTAGTCTGACGTGCGCTTCAAACAGCGCACACTTGCTTTTCCTCTGACAGCAATTGTCCGTCGGTCGGCAGGAGAGGGGCGGTTTGCATACTTCCTCACACAGGATCCCAAAAAGGTGCATCCTCCGGGGCTGAGATTTCATAAAAGCAGCGCTATGTACCGCTCCGTCGAAGACACTCTTAGGTGACAGTGACATTTTCATTTTTACTGTCAGTGTGTGGTGAGGAATACAGTGACTGCTAGTTTAGTCTGGTGTCCCTGCTTTGATTTGTGCTAACAGGCTGGCAGCGTAGCCCCTAACCACTGACACAGGAAAAGGAGAATAAGGCTTCAGTGTTATGAAAGTAGTTGGGCCTCCTGCATGCCCTAAAAGGTTCACACCATGATTTGTAAATTGCTGACTCCAGCCGCGTAGTCGGGTCTTGAGTCGGCCGTGATCCTAGAAGGAGAAAAGACATGGTCAGGAGTCCGCACCCAAGTCCTCCTCGGCATCCGGTGTCTTTGTCGTAACTGCACAAACATGCTCAGAGCCTTCCTGGGAATGGAGCCAGCCCTGCAAAGGCAGAGTTGGGTGTTGAGTTTCTGAAATCACATCCTGGTGGTTATTTGAAAACTATTTGGCATTTTAAACTTCCATCTCCTTCTCGACAATGAAATTTAATATCATGCAATTGACACCATGATGATGTCAGGCTTTTGGGTCATGACTCCATCTGTTGGCAGCATGGCTTTGGAGCGTCTCCTAGATGAAAATGACTGCCTCAGAGCAAAAGCAAAGGAGCAGTGCATTTGTCCAGAAGATGACGCATGAATCTTAGTCGACCTGGCTTCGGCAAACTTGCTCTTCATGCTGGAATACCGTATCCAGTTAAGCTAAAGTGAAATGCATTTACATTGTGGCGTTTGCACCCCACTGGGTCTAACAGTCCCCGTCCCTCTCCTCCGTTTGCAGCAATGGAAGAGTTAATAGTTGAACTTCGTCTCTTTCTGGAGCTCCTGGACCATGAATATCTAACGTCAACCGTCAGGGAGAAAAAGGCAGTGATCACCGACATCCTGCTGAGGATACAGTCATCCAAAGGTGCGTCTGCTCTTTCTTCCTCCAGTCTCCTTTGTCTCTAAACCATCCCGAATCCACCGTCTTTCTCAGACACATTCATTTGCTCATTAACATACTTGTTCATCCCACTGTCCCCGAGGGTCTCCCCGCATGCCAGGTGCTGGCGGTTTCCAGGCACAGGAGGACAAAGCCTTTAAGGAGCTGAAGGGATAGTGGGGGATCATGCTCCAATTACTCCATCTCCGTCTGCTTCTCTCCTCCCCTGGAGCTTCCGCCTTGGAGGGATGTCTTGGGGGTCGGAGGAGACGACAGAAAGTGCCTCCAAACAGTGCCTGACCTGCGGTCAGCACGACTGTTCCTCTTTCCTGTTGCTCCTGTTAGTAGAGGTGGTCCTCCTTCCCAGCCTCCCGCCCTCGGCCTCTTCCCTTTGCTCGGCCAGCACCCACTGCTGGCCTGGACGCGCTGCGCCGCTCGGGCCTCTGGCCTCGGGGTCTGCTGTTGGCTTTCCCGGGGGCCCTTTCCTCTGCCTCTGCTCGATGGGTTCCCACCCTCTGTCTCTCTGCACGTGCCTCCCGATGCTTTCCAACTCACTCGTTCTCCTCAGAGCTCTTTCATTAGCCTTGAGCCCGTCCGCTGATAGTTTTTGGTGGTAGAATTCCCATCTGTTCTTTTTCTCTCTTTCCTTTTTTTACTGTGCCCAGTTCTCTGCCAGAATTCCCCACTGCGCCTCTGGCAGTCAGGCTCTGTGTCTTCATAGCCCTTTCCCTGCCGGCGTATCACACGTGACCCATTACAGGTGACTGTTGTTGAGCGGTTGTTCTGGTGGGTCTTTCCAGGGGGGGTCTGGCCTGGAAATAGTCCTGCACCCAGATTAAAGCCGGTTCCTTCCTTTCCTGCCTTTGCTGACACGGTGCTCACCACATGTCCTAAGTTACTTGGGTACACACTTGTCTTCTCAACTTGAATACGGCTGCGCTGGGAGCATGAGCTTAAGGCCGCCGGGACACGCAGGGACCCGTGTGTTCCCAGTATCTGGCTTCAAGAGGGCACCTGATACAAATGTACTGCTTCCGGGGCCGCGCCCGCCCCTTAGTCCGTCTGTCTGTGGGTAAGTCCTGACCAGAGTGGAAGTTCAGGCAGGGCAGCTCACCTTTGCCAGGCCGCGCAGCATTGGAGGAATGCAGGCTTCCGTGCCGGCTCCATCATTTCCACCGCTAGTGTTTCGACTAGTTCTGCAGTCTCTTTTTGTTTTTTCCAGCCATAGATCCCCCACCTGGAGAAGAATAACAGGATTGTTGTACAGTCTTAGAGGAAACAGATATTGGCCCAGCGTTCACGATGGGGCTGAGGGCGCGATAGCTGCCGGCGGCACCGTCCACACCCTTCTCCTCCTCATCCAGTTCTGTGGTTTTGGTTGATGCTTACAGGTTTCGAAGTGAAGGACCATGGTCAGAGGCAAGAGACCCCCAGCAGCCTGCCGGCTCCTCCCCAAATGCCTTTGCCGGAGATCCCTCAGCCGTGGCTGGTGAGTGCGCGGTCCTACAGAGCCGCTGGGCCCCTGGGCCACTCGGGGCTCCGGGCAGGTGGTAACAGCCCAGATCTGGAGGAAAGGAGGCCGTTTCTTGCTAGAGTCTCTCCTTTGAGTGGGTTTCTAGGGCTGCTGGTAATAGCCAAGTGGGAGGCTGGTGTCTCCTTGAAAATTGCTGGAGCTACAGGTCCATGGAAAGCTGTTCTGAAGTTAGATTTCTTTTCTTTTTCACCCAGAGGCTTTAGCAGGCACAACAATGGCATAGAGCCATCGGGGAACTTGACCCTCTCTTGGGCTAACTCTGGATTTGAATACCGTAGTCTACAACTTTAATGTTCATTGTTATGCTTCTTCTGGGATAAAACGTACATACACATTCCCAGGAATGTGTATTTTATGTGATGTTATGCATTCAAAATGTGTTTTGGAGTTCTTCTGCCACCTTTGCAGTCTTGGGATGCTCACATGTGCCATTTAGCTTTCTCTGCCTTTTGCTGTTGGCTCGTTTGCTTACTCTGGAAAATTTGACTTTCATTCAGAATCAGAACAAACTCAGTGACTTGGAAATTCTCTTTGTGATGTTTGCTTTCTGTATGTAAAATCTTTTAAAAGATTTTATTTATTTGTTAGAGAGAGCGCCACGAGAGAGAGAGAGAGCAGGAGTAGGGGGAGAGGGAGAAGCACACTCCCACTGAGCAGGAAGTCCGATGCGGGACTCGATCCCAGGACCCCGGGATCATGACCTGAGCCGAAGGCAGACGCTTAACAACTGAGCCACCCAGGCGCCCCCTGTATGAGTCATTTCTTCATCTCGCCGCCAGGACGAGGACTGCAGGAGAGTGGGGCCGGGTCCCATTTACCTCTAGCTCTGCTTGCGCCCCAGCATGGTGGCTGGTGTCCAGTAGATGCCTGTTAATTGTCATTTCAGAGGGGGACAGAGGACATTAGCACTCACTGGGCCCCTACCGTGTATTACACACTAGACTTGTTACTTTTTCGCTTGTAATTTCGTGTAATCCTCACAGCTTGAACTCAGAGAGCCCCTACATGTGAAGAGTATGAATACCCAGTTTCCAGACAAAGAAATTTAGGATCAGTGAATATTCGCAATTTGTTCAAGATCATACGATAGGCAGGAAAAGGCAAAAATTGTCACAGGTTCTTTGGATTCAAATGCAGTCTTTTCTCAACAATACTACTTTGGTGGTGTGGCCGCAAAGCCGAGGCAAGTCTACCTCGCGGATCAGAGAAGGTTGTGTCAGGAAGCGGAAGTCTGCTCCCGAGCCGGGGTCCGGGGAGGCGGCAGGACACAGAGCTCAGCTGCCACCCACTCGGCCACGTCCTTGTATGACTGCGCACGGTAACCGTAGTGTGTCTGCGCTGCAGACGCAACGTTCCTGAGAGGCTGTCGTGGTGGGGCCATGCACCAGGATAACCGTGAGGACCTCGAGTGCTAGAGCAGGGCCTTGCGGATCGATGCTCTGCGTGAGAGCTGGCTGCTACTGTGTGGAGCAGCGCTTCCCAACTGTCACGTTCCCCGAATCCCTGGGGGTCTTGTGAAGATGAACCTTCTGATCTGCTAGGTCTGCGTGGGGCCGTAAGTGCTGCGTTTTCAACGAGATCACTGTAGAAAATTGGGGGGGAAGCCCTAAAAGTACACAAAAGTCATCTACGTTTCCTTCTTCCTGGGAGAGCCACCAACTTCCTTCACCTGTGCCGAGCCGGGGCAGGGCCACGGGCCTCCGGTCCGAATGGAGATGCGCTGAGTGCCGCCTGTTCACTGATTCGCAAGGCTGGGGATGAGGAAAAGGAGACCTTCACTATTTATCTGTTGTTTTATACATTTAATCTGTCTGCAACTGAGAGTATATTGAATGTATGATTTTTATATGCGGTTTTTATCTTTTTAACATTATTTGTTATGTATTTTTCCCTCTTTATAAAAGATTCTTTATAATTATTTTCCTTTTTTTTTTTTAACTCATCCTGTTTGTTATAGAAACTGACTTGATTGGCTTTCATTTTTTCCATGCATGATTTGTTTTTGTATTATTATTTTTTAAACTTTTTTTTTAATCGTTTTTAAGATTTTATTTATTTATTTGAGAGAGAGTTCATGAGCAAGAGGGAAGAGCAGAAGGGAGAGAGAGAAGCAAGCTCCTCGCGAAGTGGGGAGCCCCATGAGGGGCTCGATCCCAGGACCCTGGGATCATGACCTGAGCCGAAGGCAGACGCTCAACCAACTGAGCCACCCAGGTGCCCCGTTGTTTTAAATAGAACGCAAAACTGTAGCCCAGAAGTATTGATGCACAACATTAACCCTCACAAACATTGTCTGTCTGAAAGAGAAAGAACGGGGTGAGCGGACAGCAGTTCATTCATTTCTGGGTTTTATCTTCTGACTCACCCGTGCTTTCCCTCCTCAGCTTCCTGAGCCCACGGCCCTCCCACCGTCTCAGCGTGCTGCGTCCCGTAGTGAACGTTGGGAAAGGGGTTTCCAGGCTGCAGACATCTGGGGGTAGCCAGCAGAGTGGGGGGTCTTCTGTGAACTTCATGGACCCTCTGGTGCCTTGTCAAGTGCCATGTACCTGGTCTGGACTGAGACGCACGTCCCATACGGTCTGGGCCAGGTGCAGGGACTGTCACTTTCAGTGCCAATCTCAGATGAAGCGTACTCATCAAATAGCCAACACTTTCTACCATTTTTGACCACTGAATAGTTAATCCATTTCCACTGATTTTTCCTCAGATACAGTTTGCTGTTCCTTCACTTGTTTGTGTTCCTTTCTCTCTCTCCTGTCCTCGTCTCTCGCTGTGCCCGGCTCATGCTCTGTCTCTGCCTTTGGCTGCAACATGGCAGAGTGTCCTGGTTTAAGGAACGTGAGAAGCCCTCCTACTGATGGTAGTTGGTTGGCAAAAATGTTGGTTTTAAATATTTAAGTATTTAAATACTTAAATATTTTAAGTTTAAACAAATAATTTTTGGGTAGGAGTCTGACCAATAGGTAATTTCTCCTGACTGGTGCCTAATACATGAGTATCTAGAGAGCTTTCCTGTCCCCTAAACTCCTGGGGTTCCGATGTGGGGCCAGGGGCTACGTTCCTTGAGTATGGGTCTCCGCACTGTATTCTGCTTCTTTTCTGCATACACCTGTGGCAGTTAGCGATTTCCAGTTTTTGTTTCCTTAAAGTGAAGTGAAACGTAGACACTCGTGAGCCCGCCTGAGTTTGGAGCCCCTGAAGCTTTGAGTGCTGTGCTGTTCGTTCCTAGTTGACGTGCCCACCCTGATTGGATTTTCTTTTCTTCCTTCATGGTTTGTCTTGAACAAAGCTTTCTTTTCTTTTCTTTTCTTTTTTTTAAGATTTTATTTATTTATTAGAGAGAGAGAGAGCACATGCATGCACAAGAGAGCATGAGCAGGGGGAGAGGCAGGGGGAGAAGGAGGAGCAGACTCCCCGCTGAGCAGGGAGCCAGACATGGGACTCAATCCCAGGATGCCAGGATCATGACCTGAGCCGAAAGCAGATGCTTAACCAACCGAGCCACCCAGGCGCCCCTCTTTTCTTTGTTTAAAAAATATTTTATTTTTGTGTAATTTCTATACTTAACATGGAGCTTGAACTCACGACCCTGAGATGAAGAGTCACACGCTTTACTGACTGAGCCAGCCAGGCGCCCCTTGACTGAAGCTTTCTAAAGAGAATCATCTCAGAGAGTGTTATCACCTCTCCTTTTGCACTCATTATTTCACTGGTTTATTTATGTAATAGCTAATCAAGTTAACGTAAATAACTATAATAATAAGTACAAGCATTTATAGAACAAGGCTGACTTGGTAAATGTGCAGCTCAGCTGAGGGGACTCTTTGTACAGGGCACTCTGGAGGGGAGCCTGTCGTTGACCATGAATGTTTAGCATTTTACGGCCATCTGTCAGGGCTTTTGCAGAGGGAACGAAGAACATCTGTCACTTTAGCAAGTCAGGGAAGCAGAGACTGGTTACGATGGTTCTACTGTAGTTTTCAGTGAATTCATTATTCAGCAAGTAAGGTGGTCATTGGGTAGATTCACTCTGCTGCTGGCGAATTGGCTGTGGCCGGTCAGTCCTTTGCTGTCGGCAGGTTGACTTTCAGGAGAATTCACATGCACTGGGCCAGAGATGGCATGACCGGGCGGGGAGGGCACACGAAGGAAGATGTGGGCGGCCTGGAGCCGGGCACGCCACGGCTCTGTGCTGGGGAATGGGATTCGGGCAGGGTCTGCCAATGAGGCTTCATGCAACTACCACTAACCATCTCCTGCCATCCCTCCTCCCCGGGGGATCTCTAAGATCTGTTCATCTTGGTAATGGAGACTTTACACCCACTGACCTAACAACAGGGCCTCATTTTCACATTCTTTTAATTCAACTAAATGTTCACCTGTTGGAGATGGTGTTTGTTTCTATGCCGCTTTGTGTTCCTCGAGCTGTGCAGTGGAAAACGCTGACAGCTTGTCAAGGGTGGGGAGCATGTGCAAACGTCAGTCTTGTAACGTTGACGATGCCTCCATGCACGGAGGGCACGTTGGAGTGTTTCTTCCCTGTCCGGGCCTGGGAGTGAACGTGGTGACAGCCGAGGGTGTCCCATGAGACCCGGTGGCCCTTCAGCGTGGCCAGCCTTTTCAGATGCTCGCAGGAATGTGAGGTTATATGCTGTGTGTGGGTGCAGAACTTCTCCCGACTCCTGGAAATGGCAAGCGTGGTACACGACATGTTTGACCGTCTGGGTGAGTTCCCGCGCTTTCCAACGGGAGACTGGAATAGGCCCAGATATGCGTGTGTTTAGTCAAAGCCTGTCTGGGAAGAGGTTTGTTTTGTTTCACGCCGAGAGTGCGCAGCTGTCCCGCTGCTGTACTCCGTGTGGAGCACAGGTGTAGAGCGTGTGTGAGTAGCGGCCCCCTCCCTAGGGAACAGATCCCATCCGTGTGGACGTTGCTGCCAGCTGGTGCCCATGCTC